GTCCAATAGTCCATGTTTTGCCTTGTTTAATTTTCGAGGAAATTAATGCGCAAACTTGGAGTAAAGCTTTCGGAACAGTCCATGTTTTATTTATCTATCACGTTTAATAATCGGACAGTTTATCTTTCCTTAGAAATACGCGTTAACCGTATGCAGTTGAATAAGTGGTCAGGCAATTTTATGATGTCATTGAATTCTGTATGTTTCGTCGCCCTTGCCTTGTTCAAATTCGTCGGTATTCCTTACAGCACACATTCCTGACTGCCTGCTAGGATACTAGATTGGGCCCATAGGCAAAACAGGACAAGCACATCCCGTAACCTGATCGGTCAAGGGCCCCGTCGCTGTTCCCCAAATCTTTTTAGTCGATATTATAGCACAGTGGCCTTTCCCAACGGCCAAGCAATTAGATAATCGAACTCTATGTACAGTAGGTGCATTTTTTCCATTGGTTTTCGATGCCCTTATAAATTCAATTATATTTCATGGAAAACATGCATAAAAATATCCATTCTTTTGCTCATTCGGTGGAAGATTACGTCTCTTCCCATCTTTATACTCCAAGAAAGGGTATAATTCGGTTTTAAGAAAGTTTCTAATAGCGAAGTTTTTTATTACCATGAAATGACAGTTCATAAAACGTCATGTCTCTGCATTTAACAATGTGGCTTGTAAAGGTAACAGTATGGCTCAAATCCACTGCTACATTTTATGAACCCCACATGGTCTCCTCTTAATACCGTAGAGAAATGTATAGTTTTCCGTACGTGGAAAATATACGGCTTGTAGTTTGGAAACACGGAATGCAAGTGTAACGGCAGGTCGGATTCAAAATTATTCGGGAATTGAAAAAGCTTTTGAAAACCGAATTATACCCTTCGTTCTAGTGTAAAATTAGAAAAAGGCGTAACCTTCTACCGAATAAGCAGGAGAAGGAATATTTATATGTATGTTTTCCGTGCAATATAATGGAAAGTTTATGGGCATCCAAAATCAATGAGAAAAAGGCATATTATTTAAAAAGCTTTTTTTTCAAAGTATAGTTTTTGCATGCAGCCGAATAGACGTTCCCTCAAAAGCCGGAATCTCAAGGTAAATGAATTATTATGGGATTATGCTGCAGGATGACTAGTTTTGCAGCCCAACTTAATTCCTCGTTTCGAAACGAAAACGTATTTCGGAATTTCGGTTGACATTTCATGAGTTAGCTCACCTACTGTAATGTCCATCCTCTTCACTCGAATTAACAGCCAAGAAGTCTTTCTACCGCACATGTCGTAGTTTCCGGCATATCTTTTGCCGTACGTCAGTATCTCAGCGTTCCATATTACCGTTTCTGTCAAGGAATCTTAAGTGTAAAGAAGTTGAAATTCAGAAACCGGAGTTCTGACGACTCCCCCTCCCGCCATAACAGTTATGCAGTTTTATGTAAACCAACTTACTCACTCTCGTGGTGTATTTATTTGCATTTTGCCTACGGTGAATGGAGAAAGCTTTTTGCCGAAAACTGTGGACTGGTAATTCCCAAATAAAGTGTGTTTTTGTTCCCTATACTTCGGTTAAACTGTAAAATCGAGCTGTACAAGCATACAGTAAGTGACCTTACTCTTGAAATGTGATTGAAGGAATAAAGGCGATAAATTTAAGAAATCTAGAAAGTTTCATACTTTGGTTATTCACTTAAGCAATTTCAGAAAATGTCCATTTTGCATGCGGAATATGTTTATATATGCTTTTATCGGTCAGAATGTCTGAGAATTTGAGGTAGAATCTGCGTTACCTTGTAGCAGGGCAATTTTCTATGCTAATAGCTGTCCTAGACCAGGTTTGCACATCCGTGCATGTTCTTCTATGAAAGGAGAATACCCTAAACTCGAGGTTTTTGTTAAACGAAATTGCTGCACTTGAAAGGTCACTTTTTTTCTCCATGTAACACAGATGAAGGGTGCAGGGTGTAAACATGCAGGTCATTTTTAGAAAACCAGACGTTTTGATAAACGCATAGAACAACATAGAACAGAGCCTATTTGGAACGGTGAAAACCGTAAAGTATCCACTGAAACTCGACGGATTCTGTCAGGATTAATAACATTACAGAAATTATATGGAAGGAAAGTCCTCTTTATGCACATAGATGGTCTCTACTCCAAAAGATAGGGTGAACTGGATAGTGGACGTGCTGCAAGGATTGCTTGCGTACGATTAGGTTCCAGTATTACGGTTAGGTTTTTCAGTTACGGCTATGTCTAAGGGCCACGATTACGTTTACGATTTCGGTTAGGATTAGGGTTAAGGTTAGGATTAGGGTTAAGGTCGCCGTCCGCTTCCCCATTCCTGGCTACCAACAGAATAAAATTGTTCTAACAATCATCACCTCTAGTATGTGTATCATTGGGTTCTTAAGCCTGGGGCTGGGGCGTAGGGGTGTCCAGTTGTAAGTCCACGTGATAGTCGCAATAGGTCGCTCACTTGCTTTCAGGTGATGATTACGCCTAGCGTCTATTAACTGGCACCAAACTCTCAAATTTGGCTCCTCGAAGTTAGGCTTCGCCTAGTGGCTACCCCTCGGCAACCGCCTTGGCCGGTGGGCCAAACCAGGCTAAAGGTATCCGGTGTTGTGGGTGTCCCCACACCCCGTATATCCACTTCCCCTCCCCCATTCCCACCTCTCCCCACACCCCGCATGACTACTTCCTACCCCTGTCCCTCCACCCATCTCCCCTCAACCCGTCCCGCTCCCCTCCTCCCACTCCACTCCATACCCTCTCTACTCTCTACTCTGCTCTCTTCCTCCACGACCGAAAGCCCTACGATGAGGGTGACATGCAATCACGTAGTCGGCCCAGACTAATCGGGTTGTTCTCCCACTAAACCAATACGTGACCCATAGTGGAGAGCGCAGCCGTGTAGGACCACTAAGGAACCCTATTTTGGACTAGCATTGTTTACCCACACGAGGGGGAGGCAACCATAAAAGGCGCCCGACAGCTGCGCGCAGACCGTGGCTCGCGGCAATCTCCCTCTTCTTGCTCACCCTGGCAACATGGAATGTTCGTTCCCTTTTGACAATCCGCGGAGCAACCGATCGAAACGGAGGACGGTCCTAGTAGCTCGAGAACTGGCCTGCCACAAGGTGGACACCGCTACACTCATCGAGATCCGGTTCTCTGAACAAGGCCAACTGGAGGAGGTGGATGTCGGCTACACCTTCTCGAGCGGTCGCCCCAGGGCAGAGTGACGAGACGCGGGCTTCGCCTTGGACATCGGGAACGACAGCATGGGACGACGACCCTGTCTGTCGCAAGGCATCAACGACCGACTGATGAGCTTGCTCCTGCCTCTCCGGGGATCCCATCTCGTCACCATCATTAGCGCCTACGCCCCAAAAATGACCGGCCCTGACGAGGCTAAAGCCAAGTTCTACGAGGACCTGCATGCCCTCCTGGCCGAAGGCGGACAAGCTGACTGGCCTTGGCGACTTTAATGCCCGCGTCGAACAGACTGTGCTGCCTGGATGAGAATGCTGAGTCCTCATGGAATTGCTGTCTGCAACAACAATGGCGTCCTTCTTCTATGGACCTGCGCTGAACACTGCCTCCCGCTGACCAACACGCTCTTCCGCCTGCCTGGCGACCTGGATGCACCCCGATCATGGCGGTGGTAGCTTCTGATGGAGAAGTCGTAGATTCTGAAGCGCTGGGCTGAGCACTTCAGAAGCGTCCTCAACCGTCCCTCCACAATCTCCGACGCCGTAATCGACCAGCTCCGCCAAGAGGAAATCAACGTCGACCTGGGTCTTCCGC